GTTTGACAAAATTTATTTGTAATTCAAAAAATTTCATTTAATTTTTGAAATTTATTATTGCATGCTGGAAAAAACCCTTGAAAACATAAAATTTTAATTAGAATCCATAACCTTTTAAAAATACCATTGCTTAATATGCAATTTTAAATTTTAAAAATAAAAACAAATAAATTTTGCTATATGGAACTGTTATCTATTTATGTCATGTATTCATACAAATCACTGTACTTGTTTTTAAAAATTTCTAATAATGAAAAAAGTTCACATAATGAGTCCTCACAGCGGAGGTAGCAACCACAAACCCCTCATATCTCATGAATAAAATTAATATTAAGAAAAATAGTTTGATTGGCCTACCTAGTTTTTTATTTTTTTATTTTTGCATTTTTTGTTTTTTAATGGCAAAAATGAAATTTTAGGAGAAAATGAGTTAGTGCAATGCACCAAGACTTTTTTAGTCAATAAACAGACTTTCAAGCCACGACGAAATGAAATGACGCCCAAAATTTTCCGTGGCCGAGCTCATATTCATATGATAATGACCAAAATTTTGGTCTAGATCCACAATCATTCTCACAGTGTGATTCAATGATCTCCATCTCATTTTTTGAATAACCTTTAAAAAATTTCATTTAATAAAAATTATGGAAGTCTGTATCCATTAGGGATTGGTTTACGAGATGGGAATGACTCCCCTCCACATTTTTTTTTATCTTTTATATTTTTTCATATTTTATTTTTTGGGTCAATTCTAGGTGCATAATAATAATTTAAACCGTTCATCTCGTAATCTCAATAATTTCGATAAGTTATGCAAAAAATTAGTTTTATTGGATATCATGAAATACATAAATAAATTGCACTTATTTTTTAAAATGAACGATAACTGTGAGTTTAAATTTAAACCTTTCATTCTATAAAACAAAAAATTTGTTCATATATTCATCGATATCTGATTATGCTAATTTTTTTGCATAGATGGCCTTCATTATAAGATTTACAAGATGAACGGTTTAGATTATCATTGTGGATTAAGAAGAAAATTCAAAAAATAAAATATGGAGGTAGAGTATGAAGGGGAGTTATTCCTTTATGGGGAGATGTCCTTAATCTCCATGGAGTAATTATTTAGTATATTTTTGGAATTACTAGATATTAGCATGGATTATTTGTTTTGAATCTTCTTATTTCTTGTTTCAAAATATCCACATCATTGGATTATATTGTGTGATTATAACATCTAACATCTTCAAATTGCTAATATTTCGATAGAGAAACAAAAATTTGAGGGTAAAAGATCCTTAATCTTTGTTTTTATTCCAACCCTGGTAGTAATCCACATCTAACAAAATGGATTTAGTAGTAATACAAAAATTTCATTTTAGTTTATTTGGCTAACCATGAATGCCAAAACAATATATTATGTAATAAGCTTGAACTATTTGATTAATTCTTCTATGTGTGGATATATTAATTTTTATCACATTTTCAACCATCTATTTATAATAGGAGTGGGTCTTACATTATCACGTAGTGTGAGTTACACTTTCATTGTCTCTAATTTTATTCTATACCAGAAATACATCTCCAGTGGAGAAGTTGGCATGTGTATTAGATCAAGTGTTAAATTAGTTAGCAAGTGATGTCTTTATTTCCTCAATTATTACTGTTATCAATTTTTTTCTCTTTATAATGGAATGTTAGTAATATGTGTTAGTATTGTCGGATTTTGTTATAGTGTGTTAGCTGTGACTATGGGCCTTAACATTTGACAAAGGAGAGAGAGGGGAAGGAAGAGATAGTGTGGAGAGAGAGGGGATGGGAGCAGTTCTACATTAACTGACCAGACCAAACTAAACCAAGCCTTAAGTCTCATCAAATGGGATCGGTTACATAAATCATTCTTCTCTATTTATAACGCTAGTCAAATTAAGCAGTTCTACATTAACTAAATCAACAAATTCCTAATATAAAATTAGACTTTAGTTTTATCTTATATGTGTATCTTAACACAAAATTGCACATTTTTTTTGGATTAAAAATAAAACACATATTTAAAATCTTCCTTGAAACATCTCTAATGAGTGGATTAATCCTCAATTTTTTTTTTTTTTTTTTTTTTGGATCAGAAAGAAATTTCCATTGATGAAACCAAACGGCACATACAAAGAGGAATCCATCCAAACAGAAAAATTTATACCAAAAAAAAAAAAAAAAAATGAAATCAAGAAAACACATAGGAGTAAATCTATGAAAAAATTTAGACGCACAATTTATGCTCGTGCTTGTGCTCGTACTACAAAGTAGAGGCCAATCAATCGACTGTAGTGTATGTCTAAGATAGATCACAGATTACAACCACAGAGTGGTTAAGCTACATCAAGCACCGATGGATTCCATAAACGAAACCAAACCAAAATAAAAACAATAATCGAAAAGCTCAACCTCAAATCGGAGACAGCCATATTTGTGGAGACGGGCCAAATCTATAGTAGATCTGGCGGTGGAATAGTGGTAACGGCTAGGCGAGCAACGGAGGAAGAGGGATAAGGAAGATCCACACTGACGAGACGGAGAAGGAGAAACCCAACAAACTTTCACCATGGAGCAAAGAAAACACCTCACAGAAAGGGAGAAATTGGGAAGAAAGCTCTCGAGATTTATTTATCAGAAATTGGAAAGTTACCCAATTACATTTTAATCAATGGTGATGGCTTTGACATTTCAACTAGGATTAACAGTGATGCGATGGATTAATCTTCTATTTAGTTTTAGCAACCAGCTCGCATTGCTCAGTTAAAATAAGGGATGGCTTTTATCTAGTTCATATCGAATTGAGGGTAATATTGAACCTCTGTGGGTTCATCATAGAGCCTGCATCGATAATTTGAACTATTCAATATGTTGAAATCGTTAAGTACTTCAACTCTGCAAAAAAAAAAAAATCATGTTGATTGGATATCATTAACTACTTGATCAGGTCACATTTGTATCAACGGTAAATATAATTTTAAAAATAAATTATTGATACAAATGTGATATGATCAAGTGGCCCAAGGAGGCCTAGACGATGATCTGAACCGTTCAATATGTAGAACTCATCGAGTATTTGATCATTATAACAAATTATGTTGATCGGATATCGATAGCTATTTGATCCATAAATTTGTATCAACGGTAAATGTGATTTTAAAAATAAATTATTGACACAAATTTGACTTAATCAAATAACTATTGATATCTAATTAACGAATTTTTTATAGAAATAAAATACTTGACAAGACGTACATATTAACTATTCGAATTATCGATGTGAATCCCGTGATGAATCCACAAAGCTTAACAATATTCTTTAACTGATTTTCCTAACTAGGAAGAAGCGTCTCCCTCAAATAAATTTTGATCTCCAGTCAATTCAATTCACTCACCTACTGTGAAGATCAGGTTAGAAACAGAGTTTGTCAGTGACAATGACTGAGGACGGTATAATAATCATCTAATCATAAATTACTACATAAGTATTCAAATGTATGAATTATTGAATTTAGTTAACAAGGATAATTAGTGGAGATCACCATCTATGTACTGTTTTATGATTGGATGGTAATAACATTAAGATTGAATGGTAATATTATTATAGTATGTTTGATTATAAGGATTATAATATATGATTAGAATTATTAATTTATATGACTTATATTTTAGTGTTTGCTTTCAATTTTTGTTATCAAAATTAGGTTTTGATGGACATTTGATTTAATAAAATTTGTGATTTTTTTAATCCTGTGACTAAAAATACAAAACAAACATATAATTATGCAAAACAAATATGGACAAGAGGTGATTATTTATCCCACTAACTCACTACATGACAAATCTTATATTAATCTCGTAAATTATCAGTTTGTTGGAGCCCGTGAGGCTCATCATAGATTGTATTTGGATAATACAAACTATTCATTTTGAATAGTCCTTTATGTATATCATAAAATAAAATAAAAAAATTAAATCAATTTGATGGTTGTAACATGTTCAATTTATTACATTTTTGTCAAAAAAAAAAAATATATAAATAAAAATGAACCACAATTGTATTTTTAAAAATAAATTATATATTTTTCTGGTGACAAATACAATAAATTGAATAATTTATGATTATTAGATTGAGTTAAGTTTTTTTGTGAGTGATATCTCCCCTAATGGCTCTATCTCTGAGTTAACCCGAACTAGTAGCAACCGATCCTAGTAAATAAGATATTGTTTCATAGAATTGATTGTTCTTTCTCTCTCCTTTCTTCTAGAGGAATTGAATCGTTCATTTCGGTCTAACTTTGTTATTGTACCCCAGTCTCCCTCCGACAGCATTCTATCCTAGACTTCTGTCTATGCCTTGATAGAAATTCATAGTTAGGTTAGTTAGTCCACATAAACAAATTATGAACAAAATAAACAATTTAAATTGTTAAAACGAAACTCGATAAAGTCTAAGGGTTTGAAAAACACACCAATCTAAATTATGGAAAAAAAAAAAAATCCGACTTTTTAATTCTACTAATCAAGTTGAGACTAAATATTTTACTCATTCTAATGGGATTATATTTGCCTAGTGGTGTTGCATCGCGGACCACTCTTTTAGTAGGTCTTACTTTTTAAGCAATACAGATTCACAGAATGCATATAAGATGATGAACTGTTCCAAAGCCAACGTTGAAAGGAGTAAAAATTTTAATGAAATTGCAATATCACTATTTAATGAATAATTTTGATTTGTGATAGAGATCATAACAATATTGAATTAGTTGGAAATAAAATTTGTCGATTAAATTTTTTTTATAATTTTTTATTAATCAATGACGCCATATAAGATGGTGTTACGATTATTGACTATATATTCAAGTTTTAATTAAGATTTGATTGAGAGGTCGGTTTCTAATATGATGCAATCCGTTAACAAGTTTTTGATGTATTTTCTCATAATAATAAATGAATTTATAATGCAGGGCGGTGGGTGGTGTAATGATATCGAATCATGTTTGGCGAGAGCCCAAACGCACCGTGGATCTACGCGTTACATGAACAAGTTGGAGGTTTTCTCTGGAATTTTAACTAATAATGCCTCTCTAAATCCAGGTACTACCCACTTATCTTCTTTTATCATTTTAATTAATTAGTTAATTTATTTATTTATCAAATAATTTAGATTGGATTTGTGAGCGAAAATGAACCATCATTTTATACTCATTAACTAATACTATACTTAATTAAGACCTTTAGTTTAGTAGTTGTGTAGTATCACTTTATGGTATAAAATTACGGATTTAACTCTTTATTAGAATTTAATATTTGTAATATTTATTGCTCAAGGTTGCATGATAATGGTTGTTGAGTTTAGGATTAGTGATTGTTGAGAATTCATCCAAAGTGTGATAGACATTCAGTTTTGATATATAGATCAATGGAACATTACTGTCAAGCAAATCAAATAGCACACAATGTGAAACAAGTCTATACATTTTCGATCTATGCGGGTGTTACATGTGGTGGGAATAGAGAGATGAGACACCAAAAATAAACTTGGAACTTGAAATTATACAAACTAAAATTTGAGTAAAGGTAATATAGACAAGTTGAAACATTTTAAATTATGGATGTTGTTTTGGTTTTTGATAAGCACATTGCATTGAACTCATATAAAACTTGAAAGAAGTTTAAACACCGGGAAATTCTATAATACATTTCCCAAAATGGGGTGTACGATACAAATCAATTATGAAATCTTATGATTTTTGGTTATAATCTATTGTAATGTTAGTTATTGTTGGATATCTCACATCTCACCCCATGTGAGGAGCTCCAATGGAGAACCAACTTCCTCCATTAGCTTGAAGGTGGTTCTCCCACTCCACCTACCCCACTAGCTAGTGGATGAAGCTAGTGTAAGGGGTAGGTGGTGACCAATCAGAATATCCCTCAATTGTGTATAAATTGAGGTGGGGAGGAGGGGTTGAATTGAGAGAGAAAACCAAAGAGAGAGAACAAACCAAGAGAGTGAGAGATGTGAGGCAGAGAGATCGTCTCTCTCGGTGTGAGAGAAGGAGACGAGTGAGTGGGTGAGTGAGGATAGTGTGAGCTCCTTCTTTATTGTAATCTTTCTATTGTTATAGGGATAACTGGTTACTCTCCCGTGGACGTAGGCATTGAGGCCGAACCACGTTAAATATGGTGTCTCTTTGAATGTGGGTGTGTTTTTCTGCTTAGTATAATTTCTAGAAGGTCTTGGGCGGAGTCCTCGATCCCCAACAGTTATGACTTAATTATAAATTATTATGATTATTATTTTAATTATAATTGAAGAAATATTTGATTATGTTTCAAGTGGTGTTTTGTTGTGATTCATTATGGTCCTTTAATTATGATTGAAAATATTTTGATTATGACAGAAGGTGATATCAATACTACAAAATTCATAGTTTGCATATGACATATCCTTTTTTAAGGGTGTGTCCTTCTGCTCGACCTACTCGGTTTTTACTTGTCCCAAATGACGCTTGGGCTGGGCTTGAGCTTGAACTTTTGAGCCTGCGCTCACGAGCCAACCTGCAGACTATTCATGTAAGAAGTACATATATTTCTAAAATATATGGCGTGTCCGTGTCGTATCTATGTCGGATACCGACATTCATCGAATATTTCCCGATATATGTTCGACACTTATCCAAATTTGCCTTGTATTTAAAAAAAGAAAAAAAATGGAATTTACACTGGTAGTTCCTATATTTTGGCCGTCGTGTTTGGTCTCTGTTATTTCAATTGACTCAATTTTGATCTTGAAATTTTGACTGTCTCAATTTGGTCTAATTGGTTCAACAATTAGCATTTTTTTAAAGGAAAATGTTCATATAAATGGCACGTGTGATACTTTGAGGGACAAAATTGTAAACTTAAACAACTTAGTGAGTTAATCTCAACCTATTTAGTGATCATTTTTTTGTAAAAAATTTTAACGGCGTTATTAATTGGACCAAATTGACACAAAATCTAAAATTAAAGGTCAAAATTGAACTAATTGAAAGTGTAAGGATCAAAATGATACAATGGGTAAAATGAAAGGACTATTAGTGTACTTTGCCTAAAAATAAATAAATTTAGACACTTGAAAAACACATGTTCATTGATTAGACTTACACGAAATTAATCATAAATTTGAACAAAATGACTTAAAATATGATGATAAAATAAAAATAATGTCAGATTATAAAAATTAGTACTATATTACACTTATTTATTATCTTGGAATGATATATTCATATATATGACATATAAAAAATATGTAGAATTATATATTCCATATGTATCTCATGTGTTTCATGTTTTGTATTTTTGTTAAATTATCATGCCAACGTTTCATGTCGTGTCATGTGGCTATCCATGCTTAGCCATTCATCGTGATTCGTGAATTTTCTTTATCTTTTTAGGTAGGAGATGAATATTGTTAGAAATAATTGTTAGGATCAAACGCTTATCAATTCACTAAAACCCATAAGTAGTGGTAAATGTGCAATTTTATTTTTTTAAAAGGTATAACAACAAGCACCATAAGTTGATTGTGACTTAGCCTCAACCCGGACTTTCGCTATGACAGGATGTTGACCCAAACCCAACCCCTCCCCTCTCATTCCCTTTAACGATTTCTTTCTTTTACAACTCACTAAATATGTTTATTTTTAAATTTTAATTTAAAAATAATATAAACTAAACATCATACAAAAATATTTATTTATTTTTTTACTTATTTTCAAATTAAATTTTTGTTTTCTTCCATGCCTTCAACAACCACCCTTCCCTTCAACAAGCCCCAGCCATTCCGACAATCCCTTCTAGCAACTCCTCTTCCCTCTTCTCCAACTACTTGCTAAAAGTGTTTTCGCTATTTTAAATTTTTTATTTATTTTTATTTTTTTCGTTTTGAAATATATAAGGCAATTACATACCTGTAATTTTTGTAAATTATCTCGTGTGTGAACCAAACATCGGACCTTTCTTTGCTCTACGTTGAATTTTGATTGATCATCCGCAAGTTCATTATAGATCATACGCACTTCCCCTTAATCCTGGTCTATAACTCTCCAACATCGAGTCCAACCCAGGCCACCCGCACATACTCAATTGTGAGCCACCTTATTCTATTGAGAGAGTCACCTTGCTACAGTCCAACCTCCATGTGCACTCAGAATTTTCTTTTACTCCATCAAGAGTTGCCATGAATTTTTTTTACTCCATCAAGAGTTTTTGTACAAGCCCACGCCCACCAACATCACTGTTCTAGGAGAGTTTGCCCATAGATTGTCTGTCATCAGCTCTAATATCAGTTGTTAGGAATTAGGGAGCTCACAAGCGCACATGAATACTAGCCTAATTCATAAGAGAAAAACTCAAGAGTCCACATACCTAACACCAAAATCCAATTTATATTATTTAGAACTCATACCCACTTTAAAACTTAAACTTATAAATAGAGAGTTCATCTATTATATAAGACTCATCTCTACCTTTACACACGCTACAACAATAATTTGGCAAGAAATAAAACAAGCTGGAGGATTTATGCCATATTCTTTTATGCGATGAGCAGTTCTCCAAGCGCATTGTAAATCTCCATGCGACTTATGATTAGTTTTGGGGAATTAATAATAGAGTGCAGGCTCTAAATTGAGTACTGGCTGGATTGAGAAAATAATAAATAAATAAAATAGGGAGTCCAAGTCAAAAAATATGGAAAATAAGGAAATCTAATTAAGAGTGAATTATACTAATGGTCCCTATAGTTTAGGGCTTGTATTACTTTAGTTTCTAACTTTTCAATTGTGACACATTAGGCCTTAAGTTTTAAATCTTGTTCCAAATAAGGACAATTGAAGATAGAATTGTTTAATTTCAAAGGAAAAATCGTTAATTTGATAAAATATAAACTAATTTGACAAAAATAAATGTTAAAAAAATATTTTTTAATTTTTAAAAATTAGTTTCTATTTTTTCAAAAATCAAATATGACGACAATTTTGATATCATTATTAAATTAATCTATTAAATTAAAAAAATCCAAAACTAAAAATATTTTAAATATCAAATATATCGATTACACATTAAAATCTTAAGACCATCTCCAATGGTTACTCAAACCTTTCATCAAATTTGAATTTGATGAATAATGAGTTTTTTGCCTACTCTAGCGGTTGCATCAAATAGATATCAAATTGAGAATTTCACTTTTCTTTTATCAAATTGAGGACAAATGTGCCTTTCATCAAATCACTGTTTATTGTCGTTGCAGGATGTCCCTTCGGATGTCCTCCCAGATGATCATCTTAAGGCAAAAGTTTATGAAACAATTGCACTAGCCGATCGACCACCTGGTCGTCCGCCCGGTCAGCCACTTAAAGGGAAAAAAAGAAATTTACACTGACTGGTCGACCGGCCAGACATTCGCTCAGTCATCCGCTCGGCCGATCGGTGTTCTGATAAAACTCCTAAAATCCTCCGTTTGAGCACTTGATATCAAATGAAACTTTTGCTTAAATTTGATGAAAAAATTGATGCACTGTTGGAGATGCTTTAACAACCACTCATTACATGATCATCATTTAAACACATAATAAAAATTAATTTGATAAAAATAAAATAAATGTCTAAAAGATTTATCAATTTTACATAATTTTATCTTTAGGTAGAAATAATTTTTAAAAAATTTTAAAAATATTTTTTTGACATTTATTTTTGTTAAATTAGTTTATATTTTATCAAATTGACGATTTTGCCTTTAAAATTAAGTAATGGTATCTTCAGTTATCCTTATTTGGAACAAGATTCAAAATTTATGATCAAATATGTCTCAACTGAAAAGTTAAGGACCAAAGTAACACGAGTCGCAAATTATAGGGACTGTTAGTGTAATTCGCCCTTTAACTAAATATTAAAAAAAAAAAAAAAAAAAAAAAAAACTGGAAAATATGGGACTTAACCTTGACTCATGAGAAGTGGTTTGTTGGGCGTCCTGTCGGCCTGCCCGTGAGCCCGTTTAAGGTAAATTCATTGGCAAGACTTCAGTCTAAGATTTTGACACACAAATCAGC